GTTTGAACGTCAAGAAAAGACATAGGCGCTTAAAGACCCAATTTTTTTACCGTACGGTTACCTGAGGAGGGGAGTGGTCCAAGTTACAGTGGTGTTATTTACCTGGAGACCGCAAATACCCAAGATGTCAAAAATCTATATACACGTAGCATTACACAGGAAGTCTGTGTCTGGTGATCAGGGTCAACATTCCGTGTTTCGTGTCTAAATTTGAGTGAAATTACTTGAATTAATTGAAATATTTCAATATAATAAAATTTATTGATTTATACTTTCAGCGATAACTAATGAAGAAAAAAAAGTTATAAAGAAATATCGTTTTTATATTTAAAAAAAATGTAAAATTAAAGAAATGAACACAGAGTAAAACTACAAAGTAAATATCTTTTTTAATTAAACTTGTGTACATATCTAAATTAAAAAATAATAAAATATTCCATTCATAGGCCTATCCGTCATGTGAACATATACATTTGCATGTACCGCGATATAGGAATATATTCACCATTTCCGGGTGTTCGTGTGTTTAAATTTTTTTATTGTTTGCAAGATTTCTTTTATACTTTTAAGAATTGATCTTTGGTTTTATATATTCACTTTTTAAATATTGGGTATTGACAGACGTAAGGAAATTCGAACTAAAAGTTACAACTGACATTTCATTTACAACGGAACACGGTGTAGATTGTATTTCTATATACATAGATAAAACAAGGGATAAAGGAATTATCCATCCATGCCGTTTGTGCTAAACATCTTTTCTTATTTATCATACTCCAATTTTAATCGGCAAATGGCGTTTCTGTGCACGGACCGGTCTAAATACTCTAAATTCTACAGCAGATATCTTGGACGACATATCGCCTAAAATACAATATAGCCGTTGAGATTGAAAGCAAATATTTATGAAGTCATGTTTTAATTATTTACTCTCAATTGTTTTTGCAATAAAATTTTACCAAGATTCTTTTTTTAACCCCCGTGTATACAAGGCGGCTACATGAAAGTGTTTGACCCGTGACCAGGCAATCGTTTTCAAAACACGCAAACTCAGACTATCAGGTAGCACGGGTAGCTGGCCTGTCAATCAAATCAGAAGCTATTGTTTTTTTAATGATTGACAGGCGGTAAATTATTGATCTTAAATCAGGTAGATTTTGGGGGCGTTAACATAAAATTGGGTGTTTAAGAGTTGCTTATCCTATGAAAATAGAGTTAAGTACTAAAAGACATTAAAACGTTAACAAAGGAAAAAAGAATTGTGGTCCCCGGCTTTCGGTGTCTTTGTGGGTGAGATGTTATTTTTTATGACATATTGTGTCTAATATGAACATCCTATCATATGTCATTTATTTAGAAATTATCATTGAAGTTGATTGTTTTGAAGGATGAAAACCCTAATCCTGACCGTTAAAAAAGTTATGGCCAAGGTTAAAGTTTTTTAAAAGTAGGTCAACTCCAAGGTCAAGATCAAAGGGTCAAAGTTGTTGGTATCCAATGAAAGGTCTGCTCACAAGGATTACATATGTGAAGTATGAAATCCCTAGCCCTTACCGTTCAAAAGTTATGGTCAAGGTTAAAGTTTTTACATAGGTACGTAAATATTTAAGGTCAAGGTCAAAAGTTCAAAGTAGTTGATATCCAATGAAAGGTCTTGCCACAAAAAATACATATGTGAGACATAAAAGTCCTAGTATCTACCGTTCAAAAGTTGTGACCAAAGTTAAAGTTTTTAAAAAGTAGTTTAAACTCCAAGGTCAAAGGGTAAAAGTTCTTGGTATCCAATGAAAGGTCTTTTCACAAGAATTACATATTCGAAGTACAAAAGCCTTAGACCTCACCGTTCAAAAGTTATGGTCAAGGTTAAACATTTTTCATAAGTACGTAAATCTCCATGGTCAAGGTCAAAAGGTCAAGTCTGTTGGTATCCAATGAAAGGTCTTGCCATAAAGAATACATATGGGAAATATGAAAGTCCTAATACCTGCCATTCAAAAGTTATGGCCAAAGTAAAAGTTTGGAATTTTTATGTAAAAGTGGGTCAAACCCCAAGGTCAAGGTCAAAAGGTCAAATTTGGTGGTACCCAAAGAAAGGTCTTGTCACAAGAAATACACATGTGAAATATGAAAGTCATAGTTCCACTAAATCAAAAGTTATGGGCAAGGTTAAAGTTTTTGTGACTGACGGACAGACTGACTGACAGACGAATGAGATTTAATGTCCCCTCGCTTTCGCGAAAGCGGGGTACAATTAATGATGTATATTATATAGATAAAAAAAAAGATGATGCCTCTTAAAACGTTAAAAAAACATTGATGTATTGGTGTAAGTGGTTTTAATTTTATGGCGCTAGTCCACGAACTTTTCGAACAACCCTCGTACTGTGTGAAATGTATAGGGATAGTATTTTTAGACATTCTTGACGCTATGTTTTGACGTCATATTGCCGTTAAGAGTGCTCCACGGGTACAAAACATGTTGATTTTAAAATGAAGCTTATTAATTTCTGTTAAATTGAATGGAATGAAACTTCACAAATCAACTATTTTCACATCCCTTACCAAAATACTCACCTTCTAGCAACATATTCTGGCATTATTGCCGCAATATTGAAGCAACATTCTGGTAATACATTGCAGCAATATTGCGGTAATATCGTTTTTCGTATGTAAATTAGACTTGCGGCAATATTGCCAGAAAAGTGTTGCAGCAATATTGTAGCAACATTCTGGCAGTATATTGCAGAAATATTGCGGCAATATCGTTTTTCGTATGTGAATATATTTGCGGCAATATTGCCAGAAAGGTGTTGCGGCAGTGTTGCTACAAAGCAATTGCACTACATGTATTATCTCAGGTTGTGCTGCAGCAATATTGGGGCAACACTGCAGTACTACCTATATAAATTGGTAATTAATAGAAATAATGATCTATCAATCTAATAATTAACAAATTGTGATTAAGAACATAAAAATCAATGGCATAATAAGCCACAGGGTCAGTAAGAAATAGCTTCTTCGTGCTACTCTTTGAAAAGATAGAAAAATTTTGTTGATCATCATAGAAAAGAAACAAGATGTGTTTTTGAAACACTATGCCCCCCCGAGGCAACAAAGTTTGAAAAAATCTATTTTTAGCATATAGGTAACAGTCAAGATCACAAGGTCATTGATCTTGGTGTCATTTGAAAAAAACTTAATTAGTGGAATATGCATACTAAATAAGAGGTCTCCATCTCTTATGGTTCAAAAGTTATGGTGATCGATGTTAAAAAAGGCTATTTTTAGCATATAAACCACAGTAAAGGTCACAAGGTAACTGACCTTGGTGTCATTTGAAAGAGCATAATTAGTGGAGAATGCATACCAAATATGAGGTCTCTATCTTGCATGGTTCAAAAGTTATGTTGAAGGTTCAAAAAAATCTATTTTAAGAATATGGGTCACAGCCAAGGTTACAAGGTCAAAGGCCTTGGTGTCATTTGAAACACCTTAATTAGTGGAGTACGCATACTAAATATATGGTCTCTATCTTTCATGGTTTTAAGATTATGGTGAATATTCTAAAAAGCTATTTTTAGCATATAGGTCACAGTCAAAGTCACCAGGTCATTGACCTTGGTGTCATTTGAAAGGACTTAATTAGTGGAGTATGCATGCATACCAAATATGAAGTCTCTATCTTTCATTGGTTCCAAAGTTATGGCGAAGTTTAAAGTTTACAAACAAATAGACAAACAGACAGAACAAAAACAATATGCGCACCCAATCTATCATCTGGGCACATAAAAAATGTGTATAGAAACAATATTAATATGCCACTGTAAAATTGTCCAACAACTCTGCATTACTTTTCAAATAACTTTTATAAGCTGCCCTTCACATATACCCAAATGCCAATCAGTATAATGTATAATATAGCTTGTTTGTAATTTCCAACATATATATATATAAAAATAGAATCATAATTTTCTTGCAGGTATTTAAATTATACAATCAGTTAATCATATATGTTCATACATTTAATTGATTACATGCATTCTTTTCCTGCTAAACTGGTAGGATACATAGACATACAAGTCTAGTATACATGCTTCACATGCACTAGTTGAAATACATATAATTTTTCCTATTTTATCTCCATAGAATCATCCACCACAAAAAAGAATATGGTTTTGACTTACCAAGTCTGATATATATACCATGAAAACAGAGTAGAAATATTCCTTTAATTCTTTCAAAAGGCCATGCCAAGGAAACTGCTGAAATTTTTTTCTGGCCATTCCACACTATTCAGTCTTACTACTCATCATGTCTTATCCTATTGTACACAATTAACAACTCCAATTAACTTGATACATCAATGATGAAGCAAAACATGTTTGCCTCCATTTTATTTAAAAAGAGGAAGTAAATGACTGAGTATGCTCAGAAATGCCTAATGGGTAACCCTAGATCTTGCCAGAATTTTTTTTCCTGGCAGTATTGCCAGAATTTCACTGGAAGTTGATGCAGCTAGCAGTGATATTTCATTTTTTCTGGCAGTATTGCCAGAATGTCACCGGTTCATGTTGCAGCTAGAGGTGATATTTCCTTAACCCAATAAGCTTGTTTCTGGTGACAAAAATGTGTTGCTGCAATACTTGCCGCAATGTTGCAGCAAAATTGCTGCAATCATTTGAATTTGGTAAGGGATATTATATTGTGCTTATTTTAATTTTTTAGCGAGTAAATTCGAAGATTGACATCGTCCACGAACTTTTCGAACAACTCTCGTATTTAAAGCCGTCATGTTAAAGAAATGTTAGAAAGGTTCTCCTGGAGTCAAAATATTCGTAGCATTTTTCTTAATAAATGAAATAAATGTGAAAAATGAAATTATCATCTTAAAATGAATTGAGAAATCAGAGAACTTTTTAAAATTAATCACAACCCTTATCATGAAAAATGCACCTTTTAATGTTGTTGATGCACGTGCACGAGTACTGTATTTAAAAAACATGACGATTTCATTCCTAAGTCTGGCTTTTTTAAACAGCTGTGAGCAGGATGTTGAGAAGTACACAAGATGTCCATGTTGTTTGAAGGTTTATGACGACCCTTGTTATCTCCAGTGTGGGCACACAATGAACAAAAAGTGCATCCGTCGAAAACCACCTATTGTAAGATGCTTTATATGCAATGAATCCTTTCAGTGTGAATCAAGTACCGTTGGCAGAAATCGATTTGCAAAAGATCTTGCTTTAAAGATAACACAAAGGAAAATTACAAAACTTTTGCTGGATAATCCAAAATGCTCTTTGAGTCAACATACGGGTGAAAATGCAATACGTTACTGTGATAGATGTGAAATGAGAATGTGCAATATTTGTAATCAATTTCATGGTATGAATCCTACAACGAAAAAGCACCATGTCTATGAAGTCGGCGATATGATAGCAAAAAACTGTCAAGGCGACATCAATGTTAAAAAAGACTTGCATTGTGAACTCCATGAAAATGAAATCATTCAAAACTGGTGTTTGGATTGCAATCTTCCCGCTTGTGAAGAAACTTGTTCCGAGCACCATTTACAGCCAATATCAACACAGGCAAAAGACGCAGAAGCTAAAATCAAAACATTGAAAAGGAAGTCAGACGAAGGTTTGTCAGAAGTGAGGTTGCGTTTTGAAGAGGTGAAAACTGTAATAAGTGAACTAAAGGCAGATGGACACTATGACGATATGGATGTTTCAAAGATGGATTGGGCTAAGCAGAAATGTAAAACAGTAATTAAATTGTATGAAGTCTTACTAAGGGAGGTGACTTTACTATTAAACAAAGGAAATGAGCTTCATAAGTGTTACACCTCATCATTTTTATCACTCCAACAGCAGTCTATCCAGGATTCGACAGAAAGCATTGCAAGTGGAAGTCAAAGTGGTAGTGCAAGGTCATCTGCATCGACCGAAAGCGATGTTAGTTTGCGCACCCAGGGATACATGAACATAAATCCAAGACAATCAATGATGTTAAATATTTTACCTGAAAGATCAACATACATGAATGTTAAAAGGCGGAGTAATGGATTGTATGCAAATGAGGTTGACGAAGAGATTCCAGTGTGAAATTTTAAGAAAAAATAGTTTAGTACTACTTGTAGTATTCCTTTTACTGTTTAGCATGACTAGTATTGTAACAAAAAATAAATATGAAAACTAATATTTAATAATACATTGAAAATAGTCAAGTGGAGAAAAAAATTCAAAAAACCAATCAGTTTTGTCGTTTTTACCTTTCAGCTAAAATATGCTGACATCAGTCAGCTAAATTCAATCATCACAGAAACATTGTCTCAGAGAAGAAGCGCGGGAATCAGCGAGGAAATTCTGGAAAGAGTTGATTATTTCGACACGGAAACCAGAATTACAGGTCAAAATATACATGTGAAAATATACAAAGTACTAGTATAATTTATTCGATTAATATCATGGGCGATTTACTTGAACAATTTTTTTTTATGGATAATATTCCAAAACAGTACCACTCTTCTACACTTTAAAACTATTTCTCATGATATCTTAAGACCAAGTTTCTTTATTATCATGGACAACTGCTTCGTCAATTGAAGTGAAACTCGATAACTTTCATCTCTTTTGATTGCTAAAATAGAACATTCTTATAAAAAAAAATGATTCTACACAAAAATACTTAGATATGTCTACCATAACTACGGGTATGTAGTCTTTCGAGACCAGGTCTTTCAACAACCTGTTTTTATCTTATTAAGAAGGAGGCAACTTGATGTAGCCTATAACTTGATATCTAGATGTTGACGACTTCTCTTCAATTCACTATAGTTTAAACAACTTGTACTAACCAACGATACGTTTTATATTATAACTACTACAGAATTTGCAAAATATTGAATTGAAATTCTTTACAATCATCATGTTCATCCATCAAAACTTTGTTCAAATGAATCGCGAATGATTACTCGGATAAAATATACTAGTACTTTCAAGTTTCCAATCCAGGAAAAGAAACTTCAGAATAGAGCAGTTCAAAAGGCTTCATTCCATGTGCTTGAGGACAAAATATGGCTCACATCTAGAACTTAGTGGTAGTCCATTCAAGGATGTTTGTTCAAGATAGTATTGTGGATATTATAATGGACAAACTTCCACTTCACTTAGCGCAAAACTTCACCAAGTATCTGGAATTGAGTACATCTACTTAAATATTTCATTTTTAGTATCCCTTACATCTGTTTTTTTTTCAGGAATGGTGCTTGTGAACGACACCATTATAGTTGCCAGTCGTTCTGGAGGATTCTGTATGGGTTACGACATCCACGGAAAAATTAGATGGACCATCACAGAACACTTATGTGGACCCTTCGATATTGCTGCATACAAGACGGATGACCAAAAGCAATTACTATTTATCACTGATCCTGGGAGGAGACATGGTAATTTTAGTCACATACGTATATAACATCTCAACTGCTTTGTATGGGTAAAATTCTTGTTGTGTCAGTATTTCATTAATTATTTGCTGATACTTTTCCTTATATCTCAATATTTCAACATTAGAAGAAATTTGAAAAAAAAGCCTACAAAAACTTATTATTTTTTATTTTTATGTATTTTAATATAAAGTGCTTAATTACTTTCTTCTGCATCACCATGATTTATTTTTTCTTCATTTTTTTTTTTAAGTAAAATAAAAATTATATTGATATTGGGTTTTAACTTATTTTGTCCATTTAGTGATTTAACATATTTATAGCGCTCTATTTCTGCCAACAAACCCTGCATGAGTAAAAGTCATTTTAAGTAGTGTTAAAATATCAAACATTTTGATTCAATAATATAAATTGTAATATTGATACCAAAATAATACCATTGTAGTACCACATGAAGGAACCATTCACGTATTTAAACTGAGGGAAAATGATCGATACAGTTTTGATAGAAAATTCACGAAACATTGTGATCAACCCCGTGGAATTTGCATTGCTTCTTCAAGGGCGTTTGTCTGTGAACCGGATAGAAATGAAGTTATTGAGTATGCCATCAACAAAAACGGAACCGGAAAAGTCATTGTTCGATATGGCAATGGTGATGTATTTTTAAAAGAACCAATGTACATTACCATGGAAGCAGGTGACAAAATTAGGCTGTTGATTTCTGATAATGAACTTGGATTAAAGAGAGTTGTAATACACGAGCGCGAGAGCAATTCATGTGGATGGAAAAGTCCGAAGGGTGAATATTTCACTCCGTCGAAACCTTGCGTTTGTAAGAACAATGTTGTTGTAGGAAATTCAACTGGTCGAAAACTACATTTTGTAAATTTTCAGAATAGAAATTTGAGCCATAGAGAGTATGAAATAGAGGATATGTTTCACAGTCCTGTTGCACTTGCTTTTGACAGTGATCATGGATACCTGATGATGGCGTGTAAAGATGGCGTGGTTGTCATTTATCGCACCGTGGATCATGTTCAGATGGAGGATAAAGTATCTGAAGTGAAGGATGGGGATCCTATATATGCAGATCCAAGGTTCTTATAATAGACAGACAAATGTGGCAACTGTCACTGAAACTTTATTGGGGTTGCTGACCATTGTTAGCATTATCTAACATCAACATAAAATTCTCATCTACATGTAATTGTGTCTCTTGATCTACTGCCCAAATTATTCAACAATAAAATTCCTTGACATATGGTGTGTTTTTTTTTTATTGTGAATTACTTATTTTAGCGGAGGATATAATTTTTGTGTTTTCTTGGTTTTGTTTGTTAGCTTGTGTGCATGTTTATTTAACGTTGATTTCGATAATTTTTCACTCATACTGACACGCCATCATTTGCCGGTGGGGTCGCCCGCGTGGCGTAAAGGTTACATCGTCTGCTTTAGCGTCTCGGATCGAGTAAGAAGCTGATCCTAACGTCGCGATCGCGAGTTGGATGCCATTGACTGACGTGGAGACGTTCTTCGGGTGAGACCGTATAAATATAAACCGAGTCGCAGTACTGAGGTGTCGGCACGAGATACACCCTTCACTGCCCAATGGCCCTCAATGCCAAGTATAGGTATGAATTTTCAGTCCGCAATTAGCAAGTAATTTGTTTCCATATATGAGTAAAAAAATATGGACAGGGGCGTTAAACAACAAACAAAACTTACCAGCGGATACTATGAATGAATATTTCCATTTCTATGTGTTTTTTCTGTGATATTTAGATGAGTTGATTACTGCAGACCTGCCTACCCTTTTCATTGCAAGGGTGTAATTTCGGTACATTTTTGGTGAAATTTCAGAGGTAAAAGCGTAATCAATCATGTTTTCCTATTTTTTGTTTTACTATAATACTTTATTTTCTTTCAAAACAGCCGAAATTGTACAATACTAAACAAAACTGGCATGAACTTTTTATAATTTTTCGAATCATCTATTAGCAAAAAAAGTGTAGTAAAATACAAGTATCCTATATCAAACTCAATTCAACCGTACATCTTTGATGAAGCATTTGGTCAATTTCTATCAAACCAACTTAATTGGAGACTTGCGTTTGAATGTTAAAACAAATCGTACATTTTAACATTGTTCTATTAATCTTTTTTAACACTCCTTTTTCTCTATCTTCTAAGAAATGTTAAAATAAACTTAATTGAGCATAGAAATGGTTGTATGTTTTGCAATATTGTCTAATAGTTAACGTAAGTAGTGCCTTGTCGTCTTCTTCTAAATCTTCACCATACCAGTGTACATGTAGCTACTAGGTATACTACGTACATTATCGAACTGATCTTTGAATTACTTTCATAAGAACTTCTTATTTCATTTCTGCATGTCGTACTTTAACGTTCGTAATGAAATTTTAACCAAAAATATCCAAAGCGTAAAATCAATATAAGTGGCGTAATAGCGTAATTTTGTGGTAAAAAGCGGAAGAATTACGCCAAAAGCGGAAGGGCAGGTAGGTCTGTTACTGGATGTTTCAACCGAAATTTAAATTTCACCAAGAGAAAGGTCAGCAGCTAAGCAGGCCTAATATGCATGCAAATCTCGTGCAGCTGTCTTTGTGTCTGATGTCAGTCAGTGGGGACTATTGAAATTGACATGAGACCCTAATCGTATTATTTAAAGCCATTAGACAACTTTTTCCAAAATCTAAATTTACATTTTAATTACAATGAAATGGAAATATACGGAATCACTGTCTATGCCAAGGATATCAACGATCGTTGGAAACGTGCGATGATTTATGCACGGGTCTGAAATTGAGACCATCGAAATTTTTGCCTGTACTGTCATTTTGGGCGGCAAGTCGTAGTTACCGTATAAGTTTTTATTGGTTTTCTCCGGATTCCCTATAGAGAGGTTAAAAGGTTCACGAGAAAGCCATGTGTTAAAAATGTGGAAAATGTTCTTTTTCTTTGAAGCATTAAAAATATAACTACTTTCTTAGTACCAAGGAATATAAAATACGTTATAATTTCTTGGACTTTTATTAGACATTTTAACAAATTTATTTGCATGTGTAATTTGGTTAGGATGTTGTTCTACATATTTTTGACGCCATCTTCTATAAACTGTTCATTTGTTTTACCGAGGTAAACCAGATTAAAACTTAAGGTAGGATTCTTCTCACATTTCTTGTATTTAAAAAGTAATGAATTTTTCACAAATTCAAAAACATTTTCACTAAGTGATGGTGTGTCAAATTTGACATAGTTATACATGCAGTAGATCAAGGTCATATATACTTTGTTCCTGGTATAAAAAAAATACATTTTATTGTGCATTTTGTATTTCAAAAGATTGAATGTTTTCCTTTTTGCATAAAAAGATACTACCATATAGGGCCTACAAGATGATATTACCAAATTGACAAAGATAATTTAAATAAGATGAATTTTTACTAATACATTTCCTTTTTTCTTAAATTTTTAGGACATATTAGTTATTTCTATATGCTTCCTATATTTAACTTTTTCTCATTTTCACATATGGTAAAGTTGTCACATAAGGTACAAAATGACACAAAAACAAAATGTTTTGATCGTTTACTAAGACAGAAATAACACTTTTTATGGATTTTTGGCTAACATCTGGACTTAGATTTAAAGCATTTAAAAGCCAACATAGTCCTGGTATGTGTGAGAAATCTTATTTGTTTAATATTTTTTTTAGTCCACACATTTGAAAATTTCAATTGCTATTACTAAATTCAATGTTCTATAGTAATTTTGAAAGGCAGAAAAACGCCACCATTCCGCTAAAAATATAGTTCCTGCTAGTTTTTAAACGCAGTTTACCATTTCTATTTAAAGTTGTACAATTGTGGGGGATAAACCAAAAAAAATCTCTTACACTTAAATATATATATTAGCAAATATAATTTGAATACTTTCAACTAGTCAGAAACCAGAGAAGAATCCTACCTTAAACCAAAAACCTGAACTAGTTTATGTGCAAAAAATTCACCCTTATACGGTAAGTCACATGTACCATAGCACTCTCAGATTTCCTAATATAGCAGGGAGATTATGTACAAGTTCTAAAAACATTTTCTAATATGGTTTGTCACCTGACATAGTTATACATGTAGTAGCACGAGCTATACGTTGTTCATGTATAATACATTTTATTGTGCATTTTGCGCAATTCTCGTGACCTTTTAACCTCTCTATAGGGTATCTGTAGAAAACCAATAAAAACTTATACAGTGACTACTACATATCTTTTATCTGATTTTCTTTTTCCATTTCCAATCTTTGAGAACTTCATCGATCTATAGTTATGCCTCTATTTGAAAATCACATAATATTCACTTTATATAGTAGTATCAATCATACATGTATGTATATATCTACTCACAGTTGTTTCACGTACACTGAAAATTTCATTCACTTAATTAAGACTTTTACTTTTAAATACAATATGACAAGAATCCCTTCTAAGTATTTATTTACTAATGTGCGATTAGCATTTCTGAAAATATGTTTGCACAAACCAGGCACGTACACTGTACTGAGCATCAGGCCTGGAGGGCCTGGGTAACTTTTTTCCCAGACATTACTATTACTAAGAACAGCTTGCCGCTTTTCCGGAAAGCCATATGCTGTTCTCGGTTTTATCTTCCCCTTTTATGATAGGAATGTTTACTTCCGTTTAATGTTTGGAGGGAAAATTGATTGCATAAAATGAAGATTGTCACCTTGTTAATGATATTGGTTAACATATCTATGGAAATCTAATCATATTTGAATTGTAAAACTACCCGTTATGTCTAGACGGTAAGTATTTATCCATTTCTGATTTTCATTGAAAACATACTCGGTTGTTTGAATATATCCTGGCGTATTGTATTTTCGACCTATTTAGATGTAATTTATTAATTTATTGCAAACTTTACAGAAGTCTGAAAATTATTCACCAACATTATATGTTTCTATGGATTTTACAACCCAAATTGCAGTTTTGTGTTTATTTTATTTATATGCCATAAATAATATGAACTTTTAAAAAACTTTTGTTTTCGACCTAAATATAGTATCAATGACCAAACAGTATTGGCTTTAAATATCTGTTGGATATTCCAAACAATAAAAATACGATTATCTGTCTTTCAAAAAAACATTGAACAAGTTGGATATTTCAGTTGCAAATAAATTTATTCGTTGGTTGAACCCATATGTCAGGAGCTGTGCATTTCCAAAAGAAATCAATGAAATTACGTTGCATTTTTCAGTAAAAATTGGAGATGCTTTCTAAGGGAGAAAAAAAATGGTTTGATCCACCCATTCATTTCAATATTCATGCGTCTCTTTGACAGATATCATAATGTTCTTCGGGAAAATGTATCAAAAAATCTTTGTAATTAACCGGTTATATATCAACAGATAAAATTGCATTAATAAAAAGACTTTTTCTGACATTCAACTAAAACCACATTTTGAACATTATTTTGGGTATTTTCACACAGTTGTGCTTGAAAGGTATTTTTCCAAGAGTAGCAACCGAAAAAATTTTGGTATCTGCACGGGAAACAGATTGAGAAAAAAAGGTCGAAAATACAATACGGTCGAAAATAGGATACGAGACGATACTTGGATCTGGTACGGTGGTGTCGTGTGCTGCTTCAGTGCTTGCAAGTCACCAACATAATTAAGCTATGGATTTTAAATAAACTTTAAAAAACTTTTTTCAATAAAATTAATTAAGCATTGTCGACATTACTCTTATTAAATGCTTTGCTCTTTTTTACTAGAGGCAAAAAGAGGGTTGATTACTCTCACTTTGGAATGCTGGATGAAGATGATGGTAAGAATTTAAAAACTCATATCATAATGTTATGTATCTCCAATTCTACAAGTATGTTCCTATCGATAAATTAAAATTCTTCCATTAAACTGTAAACACATTTCAACATTATTCACATCAACTTTAATCTCAGCAAGATGTCATAGGGACTAAAAATTTTGGTCCTGTGTCCCTCGACACAAGCACAAGCAGTCGAAGTCGGGGCAAGAAAACCCAAATCAGTTTGTATGACACTGGCTGAGATGTCGAGGGATACCAAACCTAAATTTTTAGTCCTTATGACATCTCGCTGAGGTTAGTTTCAACATAAGATAATCAGAGATTCAACTTTCATTATTTTAGATGATTTTGCTGAATTTACTCCTCCTGCATCCAAAAAGATCAAGACATCCTCTTCAAAACCTGAGGGAAAACCCAAAGACAAAACTTCAAGTAAAAATGAGAAAAACAAGAACAGTAGAACAGAGAGAAAATCCTTAAATCGGTTTGTACATTTACAAATTATTATTCGGCGTTTATGCAAATTATCACGCAACCTAATCAATTGATCACATCATGGAATCCAAAAAATAAGACAGTTATTCCTTAAATACATTTTCTGTTGTTGAATGACAGCATGTATGTAAAGTTATAATTAAAAAATAAGACTGAAATAGTAAATGATCTTGCTAATGACTGAAATATCATAAATATGTTCAATTTAAAAGCTTTTATCAGGTTTTTACCTAAGAAAAAGTTGAACAATTTTTGAACAAAATACACTACAAAATTAGCCATGAATACATAGAAACTCAATTGAGATTATCTGCAATACATGTAATTTTTTGCAAATTCAAAAAGGAAAGGTAATACAAATTTCAATAATAATGCCATCTGTTTAATTCAGAAAATCTGTTGAAAATATTAAGTGTTATTTTCTTCTTTTATATCACATGTATCAGTCCTAGAGTAGACGATGAACTTTTTGAAAATGAACTTCAAATGGCATTGGAAATGTCCATGAGTGAATCACAGGAAGTGAAAGAAGAGAGCCCTCTGGTGGACAGTAATAAAGAAAATAAAGTGGAGGCCAAGGTGGAATCCTTAGAGCATGCAAAGAAAGGAGAAGATTCCCCTAATGTTGTCAGTGTAGATGATGAAGTGAAGGAAGATAACAAACCACATAAACCAGGTCAGATGCCTATGCAACTCCTAATTTTTTCCTAATAAGTTTCACATGAAATTCCCATAAATTTCCTGTAATAAAATCAAGTTAATTTCATTTAAACCTTCTTTTCATGCAAAATTCAGCTGATCATATTCTTGTAAAATTTATACATGTATGCCATCTTAATTGTTCTATGAAATATGAATGCAATTTACTACTTGTATATCAATTCCTCAAAAAAAAAGGTACAAGTATCATAAAAATGGAATAATCACTCTACTATTTGCATTATTTTTGAAATTTTGACCATGAACATTGAACATTTATGAAATGAAGCTTCATATTAGCTCACAGAAAATCCAACATGTCAGATCAAGTTGTGTTCGACAGTGCCAAGGAATTGTGTCTATGATAAAATTTTCTTCATTTTGCAATTTCAGATTATGTGATTCAACTTTTAATTTTATTGTCCTTTTTTCTGCAATATTTTTAGCCAATACCAGTGATGATGAAATAGAGGTAATAGCCACAGATATTACAGAAAGCATTAAACCTAGGAGAACACCAGCCCCTAAAAAATCGAAACAGCAGGAAGGTAGGAAAGGCTGTGCATGACATGCATGTAGTAAATAACTGATATCTTATATAGATTTTAAAGTTTTTTTTATCTGCATGTATTTGATTTTGATTTGGGAGGATTCATAACAGGGATAAATTTTTTTAAGCTCAGGGATTAAATAATGTGAATGAGAAAGAATTTGCAAATCTTTGAGCTATATATTCAATGTGTACGTGTAAATTTACATATATACCTGAGTTTTGTTGAAATAATTACAGTAAAAATTGTTTATCCCAGCCACTGGTCACTGGTTCCAAACTAATTGATCAGATTAGACAATATTTTAAACAATTGAAATTACTGAAAGGAATTTTACATTTATATCATAGATTTTGAAATATGCTACTCCTGAATTAGACAAGTTTCACTGTTTAATTTTACTTTAATAAGGGAAAAATATTGTTTAATGATCTGTATGAAACATTTCTTGCAGAGAGTGATTTTGAAGATGATATGGATGATGTTTCTAGTGATGATGACGACGATGATGATGAAGATTACAGTGGAGCGGACAGTGATTTTGATGACTGTAAAAAGAAATCCAAGTCTAAAGCAAAGACAAAACAACCAAAAAAGTCAGCAGCACCAGCAAAAGTGAAAGCAGCACCCGTCTCTAAAGTGAAAGTAGCAACAGGAAAGACTTCTAAGCCGAGTGGTAAAAACGTGCAACTTTTTATATTTGTTTATTTTTGCATTATAAATATATGAGCAAAAAAGAAAAAAAAAACTATCTGACACAGTTCTCTAGATGTTAGGTGTGAGAAATGGACAAACAGATGCCAGAAAATGAAACTTTACATTTAAAATCTTTGCATTTTCTTTCTTTTCTAAAGAGTAAAATAAAGTGTATTCAATCAATTTATATTGAACCTCAATAAAATATTTAGTTGAAATACTTTCTAATTTTTAGTGCCAAAATCATCGGTGAAAACCCCCACCCTGAAAACGTCTAGTACAGCTAAACCTTCATCTTCAGTGACCAGACCTAGCCCTGTCAACAGACCTCCCCTGACCAGTCCCTCACCCAGATGGAACCCTCCAGGTTTAGCAGTCTTATAACTTTAGTCATTTTAATTTTTTTTCTTTTGATTGTAGAAAATAACATGTTTTATACAAGCAATTTAAGCAAACACATACACATATTCACAATCCCTCACATTGAAATTGTGCACACATGAAATTTTAAATCTTATAAAAACCCTTTACAATCAAAAATTTTCATCCATATTGGTTTTTATCTATAATATACGAAAGACTGTTGACATAAGCTCTGAAGGAGATTGTAACAAAGTTACTAAGTTAATACGTTACATTTTTTAGCTCACCTGAGCCGAAGGCTCAAGTGAGCTTTTCTGATCAAAATTTGTCCGTCGTCTGGCGTCGTCGGTGTCGGCGTCGTAAACTTTTCACATTTTCATCTTCTTCTCAAGAACCACTGGGCCAATTTCAACCAAACTTGCCACAAAGTATCCTTAGGTAAAGGGGATTCAAGTTTGTTCAAATGAAGGGCCACACCCTCTTCCAAGGGGAGATAATGATGAATTAGTGAAAAATTAATGGCATTTAAAAAAAATCTTCTTCTCAAGAACCACTGGGTCAAGAAAGATAAAACTCGTATGAAAGCATTCTCAGGTAGTGTAGATTCAAGTTTGTTCAAATCATGACCCCCTGAGGTAGGGTGGGGCCACAATTGCCGACCAAAGTTTTACATAGGAGTATATAGGGAAGATCTTTAAAATTCTTCTTCTCAAGAACCACTGGGCCAGGAAAGATGAAACTCATGTGGAAGCATCCTCAGATAGTGTAGATTCAAGTTTATTCAAATCATGACCCCCAGGGGTAGGGTGGGGCCACATTAGCTGACCAAAATTTTACATAGGAGTATAAAGGGAAAATATTTAATAATCTTCTCAAGAATCACTGGGCCAGGAAAGATGAAACTCATGTGGAAGTATCCTCAGGTGGTGTAGATTCGAGTTTGTTCAAATCATGACCCCGGGGGGTAGGGTGGGGTCACAATGGCCGACCAAATTTTTACATAGGAGTATATGGGGAAAATCTTTAAAAATCTTCTTCTGAAGTACCACTGGGCCAGGAAAGATGAAACTCTGATGTGGAAGCATCCTCAAGTTGTGTAGATTCAAGTTTGTTCAAATCATGACCCCCGGGGATAGGGTGGGGCCACAATGGCTGACCAAAATTTAACATAGGAGTATATAGGGAAAATCTTTAAAAATCTTCTTCTCAAGAACCACTGGGCCAGGAAAGATAAAACTTATGTGGAAGCATCCTTAGATAAAGTAGATTCAAGTTTGTTCAAATCATGACCCCCGGGGGTAGGATGGGGCCACAATGGCTGATCAAAGTTTTACATAGGACTTAAAAGGGAAATCTTTGAAGATCGTCTTCGCAAGTACTTCAAAGCCATGATCATTGATATTTTGATGGAATCGTTCTCAAGTAGTGTTGATTCTAGTTTGTTCAAATTATGACCCCCAGGGGTAGGGTGGGGTCACAATGGGGGATCCAAGATTTACATTAAATATATATTTTAAAAAATCTTCTTCTCTAGAATAGCAAAGCCATGATTAGTGATACTAGTATTTATATGGAAGCATTTACGGGTAGTGTAGAATTAAGTTTGTTCAAATCCTGATTTAAATTTATTCAAATCATGGCCCTTTTAGGTAGGGAGGGAAACAATGGGGAATCAATTTCAAATTTTTATGAAGTTATATATATAGGAAGAAAATGTTTTTGAAATATCTTTTTATCAAGAACAGCAAAGTCATATGCTATATTAATATGAAAGCATTCCCAAGTAGTATTAAATTCAACACCCCCCCCACTTTTCTGATTTGTGCTTTTTCCTAGCCGATTTGCTCAGGTGAGCGATGTGGCCCCTGGGCCTCTTGTTGTAAACATCTTTTATGTCTATGTATGTTTACATGCATTAGGATGAAGTTATTCATCAGTTTAAATAATCCTTCTACATTCTTTTCTTAGGTCCTGCAGGAAACAAGAAAAGTGACACATCCTCTATATGTTCTCCAACCTCAGGCTTAAGACTCGGGCTATCACGGAATATGAAACTCAAACCACTGCACCCCAATCTCCAAGTTCAACACTGATAAAGTCAATTAGTGTTTTTACAGAATTTAGTACTTGTGAATAATAGAAATGTGCATGGAAGATCAACGCATACTGGTCCAATAGATTCTACACACAATGCAAATGGGAAATTTTGCTTGTGCATAATTTTTTTTAGATCATGGTGTATGAGGATACTTTAAGAATAAGTTTGTTAATCACAATTCTATGAATACATGCAAAGCTTTAATTATTTAAAGTATTTGTTTATCTCCACAATATTAAATATCTGATCAAATTACTCCAATATTTTATTGGTGGCCCCTTAAAAACAGAATTTTTTTTCTACACAATTTTAATGCAAAATTACAGTTGTAAATGAATATTTACTTGAAAAATTGATCTCTCTAATACATATGTAAAACGATTTCCTAGACATGGTACATTTGAGCTGTCATGGAGAAACAGAATTAATTTACACTTCTTTAATTTTAATATTCATTTAAATAAATATGTATAAAGGAGAAATAGTATTTTTTAAAATACTATTAGCAATTTTTCCCATGGTTACCATTAACACTGTTCTGTCCTTTACCACTAATATAGGATGGATAGAAGATATGACACCTTGTCTTTGACTTGTAACTGAGGATAACATTTTATTGGCAAAGTTGATGTGGTTGTTTTAATTTTATTTGAGATTTTAAATATGACAGTTTTGTTATATTTTTTCCATCCTTGATGCAGATATTTTCATTAAACCCATTTCTTACTTGAGGTTATGAAATATATAAAGAATATATTTGGTATAATTCAAACCTCTGTAATTTTTTAGCATAGCATTTGAAAATAAAACAAGATAAAAGCAATCGTCTTTGGATTGTGATAAAAAAAAACTTTAAAAGAAAGAATTTTTAAATGTTCAAATTATTTATTTTCTGAATAAATAGAATTCTACAAAAGTCAGTTTTGTATATGACTTATTTTTCCATCCTTTTGGAACAACAGCAGTATTTCATTTAAAATTTCATATCTGGATCTAACATGGAGTTCATTCATCATATTTTGTAGGGGTTCACCGCCATTCATAAATTCTCTGATTTGGTTTGTACTGAAATGAATTCTATGATCAGTCACTCTATCCTGTGGGAAATTGTAAGTCCGAATTTTCTCTGATCTGGATGACGTTCCTACTTGAATTTTGCGAGACCTTTGACTTTCCATTAATTGTTTGTCAAATTCTGCTTGGTAAAGTCTGCAAAGAAGAGAAACAAAGATTTTTATAATGAATAGTTTTAAAGTGCTCTCATAAATTGTAGAGAAGTGCGATACAATGTAAATGTAAGTAAACAGGCTCATCAACAAAATTAATTAATAGATCCATGTATTTTTACCTTTCTTGTAATATTTTCATACAGTTGACTTTATTCTGATGCTGTGACCTTTCAGACTGACTCTCCGCTTTTATTCCTGAGGAGAAAAAAATTATAGTAAATCCAGTAAAAAATAAAATCATGAATAGAACCAGAACAGATTTTAACATACATGTATACAATGTATATAGCTATTTGTAGAAATGCATCAACAATTGAAAATTCTGTCACGTTCTGTGGCAAAAATTAAAAAGTTGGTTTGTGGGTCAGTTTGACTGTGTTGTCTGTCTGGAGTAGGATTTACCTGTTGGTGTGTGGGTCAGTCTGAAGTAAGATGTTCCTGTTGATGTGTGTGTGTCAGTCTCACTGCACTGTCTGTCTGGAGTAGGATTTACCTGTTGGTGTGTGGGTCAGTCTGTCTGGTGTAGGATTTACCTGTTGGAGTGTGGGTCAGTCTGTCTGGTGTACTGTCTGGTGTAGGATTTACCTGTTGGTGTGTGGGTCAGTCTGTCTGGAGTAGGATTTACCTGTTGGAGTGTGGGTCAGTCTGTCTGGAGTAGGATTTACCTGTTGGAGTGTGGGTCAGTCTGTCTGGTGTAGGATTTACCTGTTGGAGTGTGGGTCAGTCTGTCTGGAGTAGGATTTACCTGTTGGAGTGTGGATCAGTCTGTCTGGTGTAGGATTTACCTGTTGGAGTGTGGGTTAGTCTGTCTGGGGTAGGATTTACCTGTTGTTGTATGGGTCAGTCTGTCTGGAGTAGGTTTTACCTTTTGGTGTGCGAGTCAGTCTGTCTGGGGTAGGATTTACCTGTTAGAGTGTGTGTCAGTCTGTCTGGAGTAGGTTTTACCTGTTAGAGTGTGTGTCAGTCTGTCTGGGGTAGGATTTACCTCTGGGTGTGTGGGTCAGTCTGTCTGGAGTAGGATTTACCTGTTGGAGTGTGGGTTAGTCTGTCTGGTGTAGGATTTACCTGTTGTTGTATGGGTCAGTCTGTCTGGAGTAGGTTTTACCTTTTGGTGTGCGAGTCAGTCTGTCTGGGGTAGGATTTACCTGTTAGAGTGTGTGTCAGTCTGTCTGGAGTAGGTTTTACCTGTTAGTGTGTGTGTCAGTCTGTCTGGAGTAGGTTTTACCTGTTTTGTGTGGGTCAGTCTGTCTGGAGTAGGTTTTACCTCTTTTGTGTGGATCAGTCTGTCTGGAGTAGGATTTACCTTTTAGTGTGTGGTCAGTCTGTCTGGTGTAGGATTTACCTGTTGGTGTGTGGGTCAGTCTGTCTGGTGTATGATTTACTTGTTGTAGTGTGGGTCAGTCTGTCTGGTGTAGGATTTATCTTTTGGTGTGTGGGTCACTCTTTCTGGTGTAGGATTTACCTGTTGGAGTGTGGGTCAGTCTGTCTGGTGTAGGATTTACCTGTTGGAGTGTGGGTTAGTCTGTCTGGGGTAGGATTTACCTGTTGGAGTGTGGGTCAGTCTGTCTGGTGTAGGATTTACCTGTTGGAGTGTGGGTCAGTCTGTCTGGAGAAGGATTTACCTGTTGGTTTGTGGGTCAGTATGACTGCACTGTCTGGAGTAGGATTTACCTGTTGGAGTGTGTGTCAGTCTGTCTGGTGTAGGATTTACCTGTTGGAGTGTGGGTCAGTCTGTCTGGAGAAGGATTTACCTGTTGGAGTGTGGGTTTGTCTATCTGGGGTAGGATTTACCTGTTGGAGTGTGGGTCAGTCTGTCTGGAGAAGGATTTACCTGTTGGAGTGTGGGTCAGTCTGTCTGGAGAAGGATTTACCTGTTGGTTTGTGGGTCAGTATGACTGCACTGTCTGGAGTAGGATTTACCTGTTGGAGTGTGGGTCAGTCTGTCTGGAGTGTGACCTACCTGTTGGAGTGTGGGTCAGTCTGTCTGGAGTAGGATTTACCTGTTGGAGTGTGGGTTAGTCTGTCTGGGGTAGGATTTACCTGTTGGAGTGTGGGTTAGTCTGTCTGAGGTAGGATTTACCTGTTGGAGTGTGGGTTAGTCTGTCTGGGGTAGGATTTACCTGTTAGTGTATGGGTCAGTCTTTCTGGTGTAGGATTTACCTGTTGGAGTGTGGGTTAGTCTGTCTGGGGTAGGTTTTACCTGTTGATGTGTGGTCAGTCTGTCTGGGGTAGGATTTACCTGTTGGTGTGAGAGTCAGTCTGTCTAGGGTAGGATTTACCTGTTGGTTTGTGGTTCAGTCTGTCTTGGGTAGGATTTACCTGTTGGAGTGTGGGTCAGTCTGTCTGGAGAAGGATTTATCTGTTGGTTTGTGGGTCAGTATGACTGCACTGTCTGGAGTAGGATTTACCTGTTGGTATTTGGGTCAGTCTGTCTGGAGTGTGACCTACCTGTTGGTGTGTGGGTCAGTCTGTCTGGAGTGTGACCTACCTGTTGGTGTGTGGGTCAGTCTGTCTGGAGTGTGACCTACCTGTTGGTATGTGGGTCAGTCTGACTGCGCTGTCTGTTTTGTTGACATGCTGCCCTCCAGCACCACCAGCTCTGTAGGTCTCCATTTTAATATCCTGGGGATCAATGACAATGTCCACCTGTCAAAAGACATTAAGTTTTAGTTAATGTTACAGTATTGTTATTCTTTATTCAAAATTTATATTTTTACTATGTATATGTATTATACTTATTGGATGAGGATGTGTAGAACTATGCTGTATGATTGCAAGAAATGTTCCCAATATATGTAGCTCTCAAAACCCAACATCTAGGTTATTCACATGTTTAAATTATACACTCATCTGGAAATATAAGTTGGTACGAAAAAATGTCATCTATGCATGATTAGTTAAAGCTATAGATCTTGAGCTTTCCTGTCTCAAATAAATTGGATTGACTATTAGACAGCTATGGTGTCACCCATTGATAACAGTATTTCTCTGTTCAATTAAGCTGCTATCTCAAAATATAACTAAGGGTGTGTAACTTATTCTTACTACTTCCACGACAAATCATTCCACCAAACTGTTGTTAATTCAATGCCAGTTTGGTTGGCCAGACAATTTAGTCCAGTGCATATTGTGCATCATTTGTTCATGCAGTTTCATATTGTAAAGGTAGTAAAAAAATATGTTAATTAATAATACACAGTATGTTAACAGTAATATTTTGAAATATATGGAGAAGAGTGAGTGTAAATTGTTTGGTATATGTTTGCATATATAGATATGGAAAATGGTTTGAAGTTTCAAAATAAAGCATTTGAAAAAAGAAATATAAGGAGGAATGAATCAAGAAACAGTGCCTCCCCCCCCCCAATAAATAGAACCTTTTTTCCATGGATGGCTTTGTAGCTCTCAGGTCATTCATCTCAACTTTTTCAAACAGTGAGCTACAGATATGTAGCTAGGGTAGTCAGCTAGGTAAGTCTCAAATAAAGTTTGAGAACAGGTTTGTAAATGGTATGACCAAAATGATTTTGCATTTCTATACCTCCTCTGGTTTAGGCATAATGGAGACATTTATAGTGCTGGTGTGAATTCTTCCACTGGACTCTGTCTTAGGAACTCTCTGTACTCGATGGACACCCCCCTCATATTTCATGGCTTCATAGATGTTTTCTCCTGATAAATGAATGGTTGCTCTTCGAAGGCAATCTAATAATCAAAACAACAAAAAACATGAAACTTTTCTGTCTAATTTTTTTTCAATTTAGTGCTAAATAAGAAAAATTTAAATTTCAAGATTTGAAATCTTGATTCAATTTAAATATCCAGAATTAATTCCAATTACATGTATACAAAACAATTTTCCAAAGTTTATAAAATGAGCTTTCAAATCTTGAGATTTAGAAAAATAATGCACATTTCATGTTATTCAAACCTTTTTCCTCTGAATTAAAATCTGCTGCATTAAAATCCCAGCCATTGTTGTATGCCAAATTCCTGTACATGAAATAAACTTCATGAGCAAACAGCATAGATTCCTTGCCGCCTACTGCACAGTGTATCTCCATGATGATCTCATTGTATAGGGGACTTGGAGGAAGAAGAAGTTCTATTATCTGCAACAAAAAATCAGAGAGGGCTACATTCTTTTACCCATATGTAGTAATAAACTTGCATCCATTAGTAAAACTTAAAACAAAATACACTGATGATGGGGGTATAGCATATTTCTCTGCATTTCATATTGTGGAGATGACAAGATTAGGAAAAGAATTCAGAAACCTGTTCCATTAAATCTGATGCCCTGTTTTGACATTCTGTTTCCTCTTGCTCAGCTAAATTTCGCATCTCAGTCTCGTCTGTACTCAACCCTACATAAGTGAACAATGAAATTAATGAAATATGGTATTAAGAGATTTCATAATCAAACTCATGTGAATTTTAGAATTAAATACATGCTCTGTGGAAATACAAAATTCCAATCAGATGTGGACTAGTAATTTCCCCAATTCTTTATTATACCCCCCGCTTGAAAAGCGGGAGGGTATATACCGGGTAGTAATCGTTAATTCCGTCTGTCCGTCTGTTATGCTTTGGGGTACCCATCTCTTTTCCGCAAGTCCTCTTATACCACTGAATGAAATTTGATGAAACTTTCACAGAATCTTTATTACATATTGCAATTGTGCACCTCCTATTTTACTTTTTGATCCAACACATATTTTGGGTTTCCCATGGCAAAACATGGACACTGCCATTTATACACATATGGGAGGCGGGGGGTATCATTTAGTGAGCCCATTGCTCACAGTACCTCTAGGGAATTAACGATTACTATATACCCTCCCGCTTTTCAAGCGAGAGGTATAAAGAGGTACTGTGAGCAATGGGCTCACTAAATGATACCCCCCGCCTCCCACATGTGTATAAATGGCAGTGTCCATGTTTTGCTATGGGAAACCCAAAATATGCGTTGGATCAAAAAGTAAAATAGGAGGTGCACAATGGCAATATGTAATAAAGATTCTGTGAAAGTTTCATCAAATTTCATTCAGTGGTATAAGAGGAGTTGCAGATAAGAGATGGGTACCCCAAAGCGTAACCGACGGATGGACAGAAAGACGGACGGACGGACGGAATTAACGATTACTATATACCCTCCCGCTTTTCAAGCGGGGGGTATAAAAATGTAAAATTTGTATATGGTAAATATAACTTCTCAACATTGCTCAATGAGGCATTGAAAGTTTTTCATTTAAAACTGCAGTGTAGGATATAGTTGTGTGTGATCATTGCTCACACTAAGTTACAGTTTATGTTTTGATAAATGCATTATGCATCACTGGGAAATAAAAAGTATCTCACCCAATGTTAAAGATCTGAGCTCTTCGATTTCTTTATGAATTTTCCTGTATTCAGTATAAAGTGACAATAAAGCATTTGTCCTGTCATTGGAATTTTGTCTTTCATCAGAAAAGTCATTCTCAACATTCTTCACAGATGCTTCAAGTGCCTCTAAGTATTTTACTAACAAATCCTGTTCATATAATGTTTTACTGTCACTACTATAAAACCTCTCACTCCAAGCAATATGTCCACATTCATATCTATTTGGAGTATGTCTTACAACAGTCAAACAGCAACGATTCATATTCCTCCCACTCCCAGCAATGAAACTTGAATAAAATCTGCACGCACGTGTTTCTCTGATACATTTTAAAGATTTAACACTGTTTTGCCACATACATTTTACAGCAGTTTTCTGAATCATATTGATTCGTAAATTGTTATCACAGCAATACTTGGAACACAAGCTACAAAGGTTATTGAAATCGTTTGCACCAAAACACCATGGACGCAGACATATTGGTTAGCCCAAAATTCTTATATTTTTCGCAAAACGAAAATAAATATAATATTCATTATTTCTTTAAATGACTTTAAGATGTTAACCAATTTTTCATATAAACTCAATCTTTATGTTTATTTATTTTTTTCATCAACATCCTGATTAATAAAGGCAGTAAATGCTAGATGATACTTTCGCTTTGGCAGAACACTCATTTAATCGCATATTTAGAAGATTGCCGGAGAGAACGGCAAATTCGATCTGAAAATTAAAATAAAATGTCTAAGACAGGGGAAACAGTGGTCCCTGCTGATGAAAATGACATTCTATTGATTAGACCTTTGTAAGTAACATTTGTAAATTAAGATCGAATCTGAAACTTTTTTTCAATGTACAATTTCTTTGTCAATTCGAATTTCCTCAATTTTCTTAATTTTTGGCCTGCGAGAATAAATAAACTTGCAGCATCCCCATCCCCAACGCTTTTTTGTCTTTGTTTTTATTTATTGGTCCCCATGTCTTAACCGATAGGTCTGTCATTTTAAGGTTTCAACTATTTATTGAGTTCTAAGAATGTAGGCACTTTGGTTGATTTTCTTTTTACTTGATCAGGGGATCAGGACAAGAGGTTGGAAGGTCTTGCCACTTGCTTGAATTTAAAGGCAAAAAGATCATGGTAAGATTACAATTCAAACATCAGATAAATGGTCATTTTGATTGAAATGCTCTGCTTCTTCTTTTATCTATCTGCCAATAAATTACTTCTGTAATAGCTTCTTGTTTTTCAGTAAGTTAATGGAAGTATAAAGAAAACTTAAAAGAAATTTTTTTTTACAATTGAAAAAAAGAACTTTGATTGCTAACATTTGACTTTCATACATGTAGCTTGACTGTGGAATACACCCAGGATTGAATGGCTTTGCTTCTTTGCCCTTCTTGGATCTGGTAGAAGTTGAAGAAGTTGATCTACTTCTTATCAGTCAGTAAGTAATAGGGATTTCTGAATTTTGTATTTTTGTCTGAATGAGTAAAAAATCAAAGAATTCTTAAATAAATGTATCTTTTTTGTTTATTATAGTTTATGTGATAGAAAATTAACTTATTTCATTCAATACACATGCTTAAATCAAAATTTTTTCATCATTTTAAATTAATAAATACTTTCTGTTGACCTGGTAGCATGGAATCGCAAAAAAAAAATTGTGAATACTTTACACTGTCGGTATATGCTTCATACAGATGAATTTACTCAAATTTGTTTAGCTTCCATCTCGACCATTGCGGTGCCTTACCTTACTTTTTGGAGAAAACACAGTTCAAAGGTCGATGTTTCATGACGCATGCCTCCAAAGCCATCTACAGGTGGTTGTTGTCAGATTATGTGAAAGTCAGGTAGGTGGTATTCATCATAAATGGATAAATTTAGACTTATTTTGCAGATTAATGGGAGACAACTATTTCAGTTGTCTATTTCCATGTTATTTTGTTCCAGTAATATTGCCACAGAAGACATGCTGTATACAGAGAGTGACATAGAGAACAGCATGGATAAAATAGAAACAATCAATTTCCACCAGGTACTGGCTTTTACAGTTAGCTAACTAAATTTAATACCTTGTTATGATCATATGATTGAAATATAACTGTGGCTTTCATTTGCATATGGTATTTAATTTTTAATTTTGAAATTTATGCAGGAAGTAGATGTGAATGGAATCAAATTCTGGTGTTACACAGCCGGCCATGTTTTAGGGGCAGCCATGTTTATGATAGAGATTGCTGGGGTCAGGGTAAGGGTTTAACATTATCCATTAATTCTGGTGCCAGAAATATTGAAGAATTGTAACCCATGTGTTATGAACTTCTCATTTTGTTATCAAAAAGATTAGTGAATGCAACTAAAGAAGATTTATTTTACACATCTAGCACCATGCATATATCTCGATGAACTCACTATTCTGTGCTCAGTAATTCTCTGGTTTTCTTTGTCAGGTTTTATACACGGGTGACTTCTCCAGACAAGAGGACAGACATTTAATGGCTGCTGAGATCCCCAAAATTCATCCTGATGTTGTTATTGTTGTATGTTATGTTTCTGTTCAGATTTCTTAATTAGTATTTATAAGCAAGATAATTTATTTTATGAATTATTGTTGTACATGTTTATTATCTTTATCAATGCATATAGAATTTTGAATGAAATTTTTGCAAGCATATAATTTAAAATAAAGCTCACATGAAAAAGTGATTTAGGATATATTTTTATCAAGACTGAATTTTTTTGGTTTGTAGAAAAAAGTTTTGTTTTTTTTGGTAAATAATTTATTTTTTAAAAAGTTTTTAATGGTATCTAAATAACTTAGAAAGCATAGAATTAAGTGAAGAAGCATGGTATTTTCATTTATTAGGTATTCAAGTTACACATTTAGATCCAATTCTCTGGTGCATTTCAGGAGTCCACATACGGCACCCACATTCATGAGAAGAGAGAGGACCGAGAAGCCAGATTCACTGGACTGGTCCACGATATCGTTAGTAGGGGTGGCAGGTGTCTGATACCTGTGTTCGCACTTGGAAGAGCCCAAGAGTTACTGCTCATATTAGGTTGGTGATGGAAATACAATAAGGATATTTTGCAAGCTTTAAATAATATTTATTAAAAAAATAAAGAACATTTTGTAAATAAATATTTTTAGTTTGTAAAATCACATAAAAGATCAGATACAGAAGTGTTTCAGTGCTGCATAATCATTTCATTTTACATAAAATTTTGAATCATACTTAGTATTGTGAGTTTAAAGACAAATATGCAAAGTTCTAAAATGAAAGATTCTATTTTCAAGATGAATATTGGAGCAACCACCCTGAGTTACATGACATTCCTATCTACTATGCTTCATCTCTGGCAAAGAAATGTATGAGTGTGTACCAAACTTACATCAATGCCATGAACGAGAAGATCAGAAGACAAATTAACATCAGCAACCCTTTTGTGTTCAAACATATATCAAACTTAAAGGTAATTGTCCAGTGGAAAAACTAATGGTTTATATTTAAAAATCATGATGAATATATAATTTCATCAACAGCTGTTTATTTTTCAATCAATAGTGCAACAAGAAAAATTTAAAAAGAATGTTATAAATAGATTTGAAGCACAGTTTTAATTTGATATATTTAGCATAAACCTTGAAAAATCCTGTACCTAGATGATTCATAGAAGTTTCTCATAACCAAGATTTCTTAATAATCAAGATATTTATTGGTAAGATTACTGTATTACATGTCTCAAATTGAATTTGATTTTTGATTGTAGAGTATGGAGCATTTTGAAGACATTGGTCCCTCTGTGGTTTTGGCCAGTCCTGGAATGATGCAGAGTGGTTTATCCAGAGAACTGTTTGAGAGCTGGTGTACGGATAAAAGAAATGGCTGTATCATAGCAGGTTATTGTGTGGAAGGAACCCTAGCCAAGGTTAGTACTGCAGTAATAACTGGTATACAGACAAAAGAAATGAGTGTATCAGTATGAAGAGCATTTTATTGAATGTAGAGCAGTGATAGGATGGTCAGGGTTTAAACTTAACTGAAATTTCCAGCCCACTAAATTTGTTAGCCCACGGTCTCTGTGATTTTTTTAAAAAGCATAGATACTGTAGATACAAATGAAATACATATATAAATTTATCTGTTTATAATTGGAGTTCTTACTTTATAAAAATCAGATGTCACATAAATATTTAATCAAAGGAAATATTGTATTCAATAAACATTTTTACTATCTTTTTTTTTTTTTACTTGGTAACTCATGTATATAAATACATAGCCCTGGTACATGTCTTCAACTTATAAATTGACAATGACACAATAAGATTTTCTAGATTAAATATTTTAACAACAACATATCTGAAATAGGTGAAAACACTTACTATTCATATGACTGAGTAGTTGGGAGTTATTAAAATTGTATATCTCTCATATCAACCATTAACAGAGGGTTGGAGGAAATAAGGAAAAAAGACGATAGGGAATTTCACAAATCGTGTAGTACTTTAAATGGAAAAGATGAAGGATGTTTACGAACAATAGGACCATACTGCAGTCATTTATTTCATTTTTCTGTAGTTTTATATCAAAACCCTGCATAAGATGTCTGTTTTTCAGTAAGGGGACTGGGAATGAATTCGGTCCCCTGTTGAATTTTTATTCGCCACGTGGGCGAGCAACTTACAAATTTTATGAGCCCACACCAATTTTTACTCGCAATTTGCGAGTGGGCGAGCGTTAAGTTTAAACCCTGATGGTAAAGCTATAGTACAAGTTCAACAGGGTCACATTTTTCGATGCAGTTTTTTATTTTGTTAAATACTTAATCCTCATTCAATCTTGTAATTATATTTGAAATTCTAACAGTTAATTTATCCTTACAATCAAATAAGTGGTCATTGTAATTATTGAAACTTTCCTTTGTAGCACATTTTGTCGGAGCCTGATGAGATTGTGACTATGTCTGGTCAGAAGCTCCCCCTGAAGTGTTCTGTAGATTACATATCATTTTCTGCTCACACTGACTACAAACAGACCAGTGAATTCCTCCGAGCCCTTAAACCGGCTCATGTGGTAGGTAGTTCATTCACAGACCAATGTAAACCAACTGTAATTTGAACAACTTTATTCACAATTTTTATCCATTCAAATTAAAACATGATTGTTTATAAATTTTCATGTCTGAAGGGACAAATTACCAAAATAAAATGTACACAGTAAAATAAATGGTTTGTGGTGAAAAATACTTGCAAGAGAAAGAAGGTTATAAAGCACACAGATATTTTGAATAAAAGTAGGTTGAACGGTATCATTACTCCCTGTCAGATTGATGGATTCAAAATTACCACATTTAAAGCCTACTGGGTACATAACTACATATTTATGAAGATATCATTTTGCCAATTGTTTGAATAAGTTGGTAAATTTCTACATTTGATGCCTATCTTGACAGGTACTTGTACAT